ACTCCTTTTGAGGACTTCTTTCTTTAAAAAAAGTGTTTACTTCTGTGAAAAAAAAACTTTCTTGAAGTGAAGCTTTCTTCCGTTACATGCCAAATCTTGCTGTCTCTGTTTCCAGCTACGCACAAATATAAAAAAAAGGTACAATACAGTTTAAATAGGTCACTTTAACTTTTTTTGTTCTTTGCCTTGTTTTTGAATGCAGCAAACCCTGGATTTTTAGACCTCTATCATTCTGCCTGACGCAAAACATTTCCAATCTCCGCATGCACGGCATTGTTAAGAAGAAAAGACGAGGATCCAGATGTACTGCAGAAGTATGGGGGCTGATTGAAACCTAACTTTAGATTTAGTTTGAGCAAAAATGCGTAATGCAGAACAGCAGAGAATGAGGAAATGAGGATCATGTGTGGCAGTCAGGCGCACACAGGAAGTAAAATCTACCAAATAAAACAGGAAAAAGGAAGATGGAATAGAGACAAGAGAGTCTAGTAGAGTTAATGGTTTTTAAGTCCTTTTTAATTATGAATTCCCCACATTAACCCCATAAAAATATATATATATATATATATGTACACATATAAAGGTTTTCTGAGACACACATTCATATCCATCCATTTCGATGGCACTTCTACACCAGGCCTCCTCTGCCCTCCACCTCCTGTGTACGGAGCATCAGCGAGCAGGATAACATGGGGAAAACAAAGAGATCTGCAATCAGATTGCTCATAATTTGTCATCATTACTCCCAGGATGTGCCAAAGTAAACACATTAAACGCCTCAGCTCTGCCTCCTCAAGAGAACCATCGTCATTTCGGGAAGGTGAGCCTGCGTTGTGGCTGACTGGTGATAAAGCAGAACGCAAAGTTTCAAATTCCCTTCACATTTTCAAATGATTGACAATCTGCTGGATTGTTTGCTGGTTTCGGCTTCAGAAGCCCGTAAAACAATCTCTGTCGAACGGAAACGATGGAGGGTGTCAAAAAGATAATGCAATGATTAAAGCTGAATGTGTGTGTTTGTGTTTGCCATATTGATGCAGACGGAGGAGTATTTTCACTTCTGCACAATCGCTTATGTCCCTGTTTTTGTCAGCGGCTCAACTCAGCTGAACCAAGACACAACTCATGTGACAGTCAGTTAATTCAGTCACCTCCGTTTGATCCGTTTCCAGTGGAGAGACTCATCCCACAGAGTGCTACGTGGTGCCACTGATAATGAGCTGTGTCTTTCATACAATACTTCTTACACAAGCTAAAAGTTTGTGAAACCACAGTATACCTAATTTGCCAAAGTCTTCTTTCTCTAAACCAACGCAAACACACAGCAGTAAGCAACTCGTGCAAAAAGAGCCTGTAGCAATGATCAATAAATGCAGCATAGCATGATGGATAATAATCCCCACACACCGATTTGATCTTTCTTATTGGGTAGATGTATAGTCTAAAAAGAATTGTCTAAAAGAATCCAATTATTTTTTTGATAAAAATAACATTCTCAGTTATTGCCATATTCAGCTTTGGTTTCACACCACCAGCATGTGCTATTCTGGACAACATCAAGTGTTTGCGTCATTAACTGTAGGCCTCAAACATAACCGCCAAGCATGTAAATGGCTCTGTAAACATAGTTTAACATCTATAAAGCCAATCACTTCCACTCTGACCGACCCGTTCATGCAGAGTGGATAACACAGCAGCTGAAAACAACCATTTCCAATCAAGCCTCGCTTCACCGCAACACACTGAGCTTAATAAGGTTCAAAGTCAGCCTTTCATCCGTCGGACATCACATAATTTCCTGTGATGCAGTGGGCGTGACTGGCTCCAACTTCCGCTCTTAAATTCAGCCTCGTTACACAACACAGAAGCCAAATCAACATAGACACACACAACAGAGCCAAACAAAAGCGCCACTGTGCTAAAAACAGGCACAGCTCTCATCTATAGAGGGTGAGTCTGCTTTGTACTCTTAAGGTTAACACAGATGTGAATTTAGCAAGTGTTTGTTCCCATGTTGCAAAGAAAGTTTACAATACCAGAAATCAATGTTGGTCTTTAAGGAAAAAAAGAATGAATAACAAGATGTCAGGTTTACTTATGCTCTCTGTGGCCTTTGGAGGGAAACCAGGTAGCTTTGTCAAGTTTGGGGGGGCAGGCAGGACCCGCAAGCCGTCTGAGAAATTGATGAATTGTGGAAAGGAATGGGCAACAGAGCCCATGAATTCCTGGATCTCATAGCAGAGTGATGGCATACGGGACGCAGGCGGGTACAGCCTGCGGGACTCTTTGACCCCATGAAGGAACACACAACTTCACAGTGTAAATGTGCTAACTTTCAGTCAGCGTGCTAAAAACTGACTCATTACTTTACGGCTGTAATCATCGGTTTTAGTCCCGATTTGACTCTTCCACAAATCAGCCAATTATCAGTTGTGTTCTCCTGATAGCAGTTCAATATCCAGATCAGTGTGCTGAGCAGGGTTAATGGACTGATTAGAAGGGTGATGTGGGCCAATATGGAGGCCTCCAAAGCCAGAAACCACTCTTGTTCTGGGCTGATAATTGGCTCACAATATGCTTCTCTTTCTTGGACTCTGGAATAAAAAATACTGCAACTGAAAACTGTTTCCTGCAGTTCTTTTGATTCAAAAAGACATTTTTTCCAGCGTGGGTAGCTGCTTCTGTAGATGCTTTCTGACAGTTAAAAGAATATTGCTGGACTTTTGCTCATAAGCAGCGGTTTTATTGATGGTATGCAAAGCGTGATTTGAGTTTTGCATGAAAATAAGATCATATGAAGCTATTTGGTTTGTAGACAGGAAAGACATATAGAATGATCAACAACTTCAAAAAAGTGTTTTTTTCTGTGTTTTGTAGTTTTTACTGAAAAGGAAGTATGTTGTCATTACAGGTTAAGCTGGGTTGCATGAGATCTAAAATCATGCTGGCTTCCACTTATAAAGAATTCATTTGGCAAGCTTGTAGCAGAGATCCTTGATTCTGTGCAGTCATACAAAGCTGTGCAAACACCTTGTAAAATGCGTCGTTTTGCTTTGCCATTTTCGGTTGACATTACTCTCTTTGGCCGGAATTGATAAGCGGGCAAAGGAAAAAACACTGGATCAGTTGTCCAGCAGATCAACTGCATGCTTAGGTCTCATACGCTTTTCATCTATATTTTGCTGTATCTTAAGCACATTGTTGATCCTGCTTGCTTGGACTTTCAGCTCTGACACGTCCTTGCTCACAGGGAGAAGTGCACATTTTATGTAGGTTCAGGCATGAATTGAAAGTTGAAGTTCGCCAAATCACTGTTTCACTACAGCAAATGTTTGGTGACTTTGAGATCTTGCTTCTGCAGAAACCATGATATACCGATCAGCCACAGTAGGCTATCGAGCATCCCGGTTTTTGGACACCCATTATGGTCCCAGACCACTGAGCAGCCAATCAGGACATGAGGGGCATGCTCTGTGTGCCCAGCACTGATTTGCTTCCAGCTGTCGCCGCATAACTCCCATTGTTCATCTTAAAAATGTCAGCTTGTTGCGATCATCTATTGCCTTCTCACAGTTTCTTGAATTGCTTTTTTGAAAATGTGTATTTGCTTGCTGACAGCAAACTTGCAGGACTCGCTGGAGATAAGGGACCGAAGATTAACCGACATCACTCTGAGTCAACAGACATGCCGGGAACAAATGGTACGCGGGCCTTACCCAAATGTGGAGGCAAGGAGAAAAGATTGCAAATGGATTACCATCTGAATAATAATTAAACCTAACTTTCTGTGATTTGATTCAGTGGGAAAATAAGCAAACACGAGGACGTTCCATGTGCGACACAAGCACATGGAACGCCTGATATTTGTTCCCAGGGCTCTCACCGTGCACGGCTGCCTCTTTTTTATTCTGCCTGCTTGTTCATTTAACTGCAGTTCAGAGAGTTCATTTTCAAGCGAAGTGAGGCAGTGGTGCCTAATTAAGCTCCGCAGGAGAGTGGTTTTCCTCTCAGAATGCCCAGCTTCTCAATGTGTCAATAGCAGCAGATAGTAGTGTTGCTCCGTCCTCAGAGGAAAAAAAAAAGGCACGACCAACTGTAGCAAAATAAGAGAACTGAAGTCAGTAAACTGCGTTTCCATCTCTGATGCAGCCAGAGTCAAAACAAGTGTCAAATAAATGGTAGAGCCGTGTCAGGCCATTGTCATGAGACAGCACATTATATGAGAGGAGTTATGCTGAGATCATAGAGCATCTCAGAAGTATTCTGCTTGGCTAAATCCCTGTTCATCTCCGATGGGAAACATTGATTGTAATGCCCTTAAAAGTCTTATAATAACTCAGAGATGGTTAGGGGTTTCACGTGATGCTGCGGCGTGGTTGTCAGTCGGACTTCTGCTTGCTCTATCTCTCACGTCAGCCCATCTGAAACATTTAACAAGACCCATTTCATTTGAATAATTTGAAACCAAAGTTTAATCATCACAGGCACAGGCAGTACGATATTTGATATTCATGTCAGATTCTGCTGGAGTTTGTGTACACGTTTCAGCTTATTTTTGCAAACATGACCAATATGACATGTGTGTTATGCAGGTTCTCTGGGACCTGGTGGGTGAGGTGAGGACGACTAGAAGAGCCACGAGCCGGGTTTCTATCTTGGCGTGCTTCTGCCTTCCTTCTCTGTTGAATAATGCAACAAGCAAAGTGGTACGGGTGGCAGAGAGGGATGGCCTTTCCTTATAACAGACCTGCTTGCAAAATGCTGGGACACAGATACGGCTACGTTTACGATATGTCCTCCAATACAGTGGTATGCCAGTAGTTCCCAAAGCCAAGGTTGCCTTTTCAGGGTGTTTTTTTTTTGTCATATGTTGTCAGAGGGGAAATCTCAAGCATTTCTGCCTGAGACAAAGTCAGAGAATTAAAGGGCACACAGACTTTGCTGCTAAATGTAAAAGGAAAAATAACGTTTTTGGCATTTGATGCCACAGAGGCAGGATGAGGGGTCTGAGGAAGGTGTGTGTGTGTAAGTGGGTGCAGAGGCTGAACTGCTGGACGTGAAGACAGCTGCCGGCTGACCTTCAGCAGCAGCGGGAACTTCCTGCTTTCTGCGTGCGTCCGTGCGTCCGTGCGTGTCCAAAGTCCAACTTTCTCCGGGTCAGTTCGGCGCTCGCACTGGACCTGACATCCAGAGCGAAACGGAAAGATGGTGGCAATGACTCTGACTTGAGCTGAGAGGAAAATCCTCCAACACACTTCGGGAATCACCAGATTTCTCTGCGCGCACCCGCGCTTCGCCAGGTCTTTCCACGGGACTATTTTTGGACACAATGTTGCGGTAGGGCGATCAGGCAAAAAAAAACTCGGGCTAAAACAGCGTCCACGACAAACTGTGGCGTTTTTAAAGCCACTTGCTGACGGTTTTCTCTGCGCTTGCTCGGGCCATGGGACAAGATGTTGCGTTTCGGTCAGTCTTATCTCACCTGATCCCAAATGCTGCCCAGTCCTCGCGCGCTCTCCCCCCCAAAAGAAAACCGGTGGACTGCAAACTTCTGCCATGGAATCCACCACACTTTGTAACAACGACGGCTGCGCTGCTTTCAGGATCTCGTGTAGTTTAGTGTCTTTTCTTAGTCTTATGTTCACAACAGCTCATCGCAGTTTGCAATGTGAATGAGAGATATTTAATGGTAAAAAAAAAAACTGAGGAGGGTGGAAATTCCAAGGCGCATCCCTTCG